ACTCGGGAGACAACTTCACGTAGATGATATTGCAGATTTTGTGTCAACGTTACTGCCACCTCGCTGCTACACCGGCGAATAAAAATAAATCATTATTCCATCTTCCTATACGTGTGATTCAGTGATCACAACGACTAACCGAACGACGACCAATGGCTGACGTCAACGACCTTTTCTCTGTCTCTGCCTGTGTGGACCTCACGAGCCTTTCTTTTGGAAATATTCGAATTCGAAGATTGATCGAAGCACCCAATCGCCGATTGTTGGCCAGTCAAGCATAGGTGACGGCGCGTGGAATTGTCAGGTGGCGTTTGTTCGTCGGGACACGGATTATAAAAACGCGCGTTTACGGTATGATCCAGGATGATCGAGGTCCATCGAGACCCACGAACGGTGTGAAGCCTTCGAGGAAGTTGTCCGCGGTGCCAATAGCCATTAAACGCTGTGCTATTTGCCAGAACGATGGTTAGCATTACCTGTAAATATATTGGAACGAAAGTTTCGATGGTTTTTTTTGCGATCGTTCGCCGTGAGAAAGTCGCGAGTGGTATCGACGTTGGAACAAATTGATCCTGCGATGTCGATCGAGATCCATTCGTCACAAGGTGTTGCAGTCGGTAATGTTTTAGAGGAGATAAAGAAGTGATTGCATTGTAGGCTAGCTGATTTCAACGGAAAATTTATTTGCACGCGAATTCTAGAGATAAGAAGATTTAACCCTTCAACGACTGTAAGATTCGAATAAAAAGTGTATCTAGTCTCTTCTCACCGATACACTTCTACGTACTACTTTACTTCTTCTAACCGATTTTCTAGTACCGTTTCTCTTGGAAGCTAACACCTGAACCCAAGGGGTTAAGAAAGGTGACGTAAAAAGATATTTCGCGAGGTATGATTAATCGAAAAGACCTTCCCCGTGTGTACGTCAATCGAACTGCAACATTTTACGATCGGCCTGCCCTCGAGTCTCGTTTCTATGTGACGTAGAATTCCCCAGGCCGGCCTGAGGAGCTCCAAAAAAGCACGTCGAATCGAGGAAGGAGAGAAACGACGGAGAAACAGAGATCTTTGCCTTGCCCGGGGCACAAATCAAGGCCCTTCTTTGCTCTCGAAGGCCCCACATGACTCAACCTTATTATTATTGTTAGTTTTACACCGACACACCGTCGGTGACGCACACACCGACGCGATCTCCTCGCTCCCTCGCGGCTCTACAACTACTCGTGCATCTCTCGCCGTCTGTTCTCCTCGTGTCCCGCGTACTGCCTGGAGAGAAACGCGCGTGGCGGTTGCGAAGGTGTGTTGGTGCGTACGAGCCGCGACTAGGAAGTGCAAATCACGAGCTAACTGAGTATTCGCGGCAAACTCAACATTCCCACCTCGTCAGGGACGTTTAAGAGGTTATTTTCAACACGTGCGTGGTTTTTCTTCTCGCTCACACGGGAAACACCTCGCGCATGCTTCCGAATTTCCAGAATTTTCATTTCGAGGGGTTACACACTCTGGAACGAACGACACGTTTCCAAGTTGATTTTGGCTTAACTTTCCATTCACACGGGATTTCTACGAGCTTCTCGATTTACGTAATTCTTAACCTAGACACAGCTCGTTTAGCATCGAACAGTTGTTTATCGACGCGCGCGTGTGCGTGCTCTCGGATAAAGTTAGAAAATCGAAGAAAATTGATGACATTTTTACGAAGAAAAGTATGCTGTCGAAGGTTGTACACCTTTTGTCGTACGCTAATGAGCTGCACTATCTCGTTCGTATAGGCTCTCACCAGGCTGGTAGAGTGTCGGCAGAATGGCGCGTAGATAAAGATCGACGGTTCGTTTAAGAATGAAACCGGCTGCTGGTTCATAGTACGCGGTAATCTCCTATTCCCCCGCTCATTATCGTTTAAATTCGAGGACGGAGTGGCGAGATCTGGAATTTTCCGCGAGGTCTCTATCCCCCGTTTCGTTCGATTTTGCCACGCGACCTCGCTTTGTTTATGGACGCTTGTTCGTTTTGCAATAACATTCGAATAACTGAATACCATTCGACATTGTTTTTCGGTAAATATTTTCAAAATCACATCCTGCGTCCGTGTGTGTGTATCTGTGTGCTGCGAATGTAACCTTGATCGAAATAAAATTACCGTCGAGCAGGCAAAATCATTCCTCTCCTGTTTATCGAAATTAGACACCGTTCGGTTAGTTCGGTGAAGTCGAAATTCTCATGGAAAAAACGACGGGTGAAGATGAATTTATCAACGTCCGACTGTTTTTCTTATCATCGTTCCATTTGATCGTACTTGGTGATACAGAGGTGGAATAAAACTTGATACCTGCTCGATATCGATGTCCGTCTTTCTTCCAGCGTTCTATCACGTTCGCGCATTCATAAAACTGTCGGCCCTCGGTGGACCGGCCTCGAGAGTTTCTACGATCGTCATTACGCCTCCAAGGCGGTCGCCTGTCGGCCCTGGACCGTCGTATATACCTCTGTACTCTATCGTCTAGCGTGAACGAGCGAGACAGATTGATAGAGACGAGAGATAAACTATTCTCTCTACGGAGCGTGGCGTGCACACACACACACACACACGCACGCGACGACTACGTTACCCAAGTACGTCCAATTATCGCTGCTAGACAATGAGTTCCAAGGTTTCGCGTCCACGAATCTCTCGATGACCGCGCGACGTCGTTTTTTCATCGCCTATCTCTCTCTCTTCTCGCGTTTCGATAGAATTTATCGCGTGAAATTCGGAGCGAAAATTCCGACGGCCGAAGAATTCCGCGTCGCGATAACGTGAACAGAGTCGCGTGTTCCACGCTTACTCCGCCTCTGTGCGCGTATCGCTTGGTCGTACACAGAGAGATCGAGAGTGCTTTAGATGGAAGTGTTACTAATTAGTCGGACTGATACGTCGAACAGGAAATAGGTATACCTGAGTGATGATCTAAGGGAGGTACAAGCCATGCATGCGAGAAGAAGTTAAGAATAGTTTGGACCTAATCAAAGTTAATTTAGAACCAAGGATTGCGTACGCTACATCTGTTGACTTTATGGCTTTATTTATACGCTGCTACGTATGTGCAAAAATAAATAGCTTCTAAGAAAATTCTAATATACTCGCGCGTACATACACTCCGGTACGATCTTAGCTAGCACTTTAAATAAAATTCTACTCCGATCTGGAAAAATCTTTCTTTCTCTTCTCCGAACGATTACAATTTCGGGCACATAGGGTCGCGATCGGTGCGTCGTACGTCGCCATCGCGAAAGATTCCCGCGCTTCTCCGGGGCCCCGGCTAAGGTTATGGCTTGCTCTAGGAGTGCATTAACCCCCGTCGGCTCGAGAGCACACCGTAGAGAAGAAGTGCACAAGTGGCGTGAAGGGGAAGAGAGAGAGAGAGAGAGAGAACCAAACAGCTCTCTCGCTTCCTCTCTCTCTCTCTTTCTCTATCGTGCTTACGGCAGCGAAGCTAGGAGTCCGTGTGCTCGCCTTGCCGAGTGCAATGTAAGCGCTTTTGCGAAGTCAGGGGCGGCCTAGGAAGGGCCACCGGTGTGTGGAAGAGAAAAGAGGGGCGTGGGGGCAGATGGGAGGCAGAGGAAGGGGCCACGGGGACCACGTTCCCGGGGCAGAAACGAGAGGTGAGGGCGGGCGCGGACAACGGCGACGCCGGCCAGACTTTCTCCGGAGAGCGAAAGTGAGAGGGCCTGCCGGGATTGTGCGCCCCCCTGGTCGATCTAGGGGCCAAGGGGGGGTAGGGTTCTTGCTTTCACCGTGGCCCAAGCGACGCTCGATGCACTTTTCTGCGACGTAGAAACGGAGAAGGCGTGCTCCGTGTTCCGTGAGAAGAGGAAAAATCACGTTGAGCGGTTGCCTGTATAATTATCGGCTCTTTTTGGGTTAACCCTTGGAGGTAGGATCGCTGGATATACAGTCTCTGCTGTGGTAAAGACTGTCTTAACCTGCGGTCGATGAAGTCGGGTCATTTCTGACCCGTGTTATTTGCGCTCTTGTACATGGAATATAGAGGGTGAGGCAAAAACTGTGTCCACCGGAGATATTTATAGGAAGATGTTGCGTACGAACGTTGCGTTATATGGAAGGGGACATAATGCGATGTAAACACATTTTTACTCGCGGGTCGAAGAGTAGAAATTTCAACATTATCTCTATTTTTGTTTACCGAGAGAAAAATTCTGTGTACCTTACGATGGGTGAGAAGTGACCCTTTTCCTTGGACGGTTAATTAAAGTATCGTAACGAAAGGGTTGTGTAGTGGGAATTGTCGGAGGGTTCGAGCGAAAAACGAAAGTGAACACGAACGTAAAATCGAAACGGAGACAGTTGCATCGTCTATCGTAATGCACCGAAACTTTCTTATTTCCCAGGATGCACATTCCACGGGCACACGCGAGAAAGAGACGGCGTGTATCGCGTGCAACGAACACCGCCTTGGAGAAAAAGCGGGCGTTCGTGGCGGCGGCGGCGAGTTAGTTACAGCAGCGACACCGTGCAACCGAACAATTACGAATTTACTTTCTTCTGGGCAACTTCCTCGTCGATGGTCACGCTGCAGATTAGCAAGACCCGTGCTTTTTTTCTTACCGCCGAGCGTTTTTCCTACCCTCGAGCAAACGTCGCCGCCGCGAAGGCCGAACTGGAAGATGTTCTTTTCTCGTGAAAGCCAGAGAGCTCGACGACTTCCAGGTTTCCGAAACGCTGCGTTCGTCGCCGGGAAACATTTGGTTCTTGCATTCGAAGATGCGACAAATTTCTTTATAAAATAGATCAGATGAACGAATAGATGTAAATCTTTATTGGACACCATTCGTAGCGTAATGTGCTACATAAACGGTGTGTAAAAAAAAAAGAAAATAAGTAACAATCGACGGTTCGGTATTGCGCCGCACAGTTGATCGAGGACGTTTCGTCGCAACGTGTAGCCGCGTGCAGTGACGTCACTAGCGTCCGTTCCCGATGGTAGGACGTATTCACCAAGTCAATTGATTTTGACGATTATAGCGACCTGTTCTCCCCTCAGCAGCATTTGCGGCACGTGTCTTTCCAA